TCAATTAACTACACTTGCATATCACTTGAGAAGGGAGAATTTAAAAATAATATTCTGTTACTGATAGTAAGTAGGACTGTGCGAAACTTCGGTTGCTGATTCTATTTGGAGGAGATTCGACCTGATTCAGCGGCTGAATCTCCAAATGGAATCAGGAGACCCATTAATCTCTCCAAATCGGGCCGAATTGCCTCAGAATTGAAGGGTGCAGATGGAGTGTCCCATAGGAGCGGAGGGGGGGGTGGTCCACGCGCTTGGTGGTGGACCCGGAAGTGGACCCAAAGTACTTCTGGTCCACTTCCAGGTCCATTGCAGAGTGTGTGGGGGACCCCCCCCCCAGCGACTGGTGCCTCCTGGGCCTGGGGAGGCACCCGGGGTACCCCTGCAGCTGATAGCTGAGCTGGAGGGGGGCATGGATGGCTCTCCCATATGCTTGGCAGCAGACCTGGAATTGGACTGGAAGTACTTGTCCATTTCTGAGTCTGCCACCAAGCGCGTGGGGGACCTTCCCACACTCCCGTGGGATGTGCCATCTGCCCCACCATCTCAGCATTCATGAGCCACACCTGGTACCTCGAGGTACATATAAAAAACATATAAAGTTGTGTCTATGGCTGAATTGCTGATTCTCCAAATCAGAATTGAATCTTCAGATTCGGCCAGATCGAATCAGGACAGTGATCTGAATCAGCAAAGCGAATCATTGTCCCCCAAATTGGGCCGAATCCGAATCCAAATCAAATACTGTCTTTTTCACACACCCCTAATAGTAAGTAAGCAGGATCATCAGTGATACCATTTGATGTGGATATTTAATATATCTAACTAACCATATAACCCGTCACACCTATAGCATGTAAACAATGACCTAGCTGTGCTTAGGGAATCATAGTTAAATCTTATCAGTTTTACATTTTGACCAGATTTTTATCAGCTTTGCTGCTGTTCATAATAACTCTTAAATTAGCAGTTGTATAAACTATTGAACCTCAATATAGGTCTGGCAATGCTGAGCAATTAGGAATAGCTAAACACCGGGGATAGAAGAGCATCATTGAAAAGCATCAGTAATATTTGAATGGTCACCATTACAAGTTGCTATAATTGTGATTAACCTACCCACTTGGCTCCTGCTATTTTAATGGATATTGTATTTCATGAGCCAAATTTCAATGCTAGTTCATCTTAATGACCACAGATGTAGATTTGCTTTGGTAGATCCTCAGTTCTCTATGTCCCAGGCCTGTCACTGCTCTGGCTAGTTGTGTGACTTTATTAGGGAGACGAGAACTATAGTACTTAGGCTTGTGAAGTATTAGCTGGGTTGGGTGCATTCAACTTTTTGTGGCAGTTTGCTGGAGATCTGTCTTCTCCTTTTGTTTACTCATTTACTGTCTTTTCAAACACAGTGTTTCAAAGCTGCCAACCACAGATACCTGCCTCCAACTGAGAGTTAAAGGAAGGACTAGAGTTTTGACTTTCTCCCCTTACTGCATTTCCTAGAACTAGACTGTTACACGTGTCAGCTGGGCTGGGTGGAGTGTGGGACTTCTCCTTTGAAAAGAGAATTCAGCCCTTCTTACAATGGAACCTGCATTTCTTTAGTTTGTTCATTGGTTTCCAGGTCTGAAAGGTCCAGACTCCTGGGGGATATTTGCCCTAGAAATAATTGGCATCAAGATTTTGGCTCTGCAAGAGAGAGAAGTGATTCAGACACCAGACTGGGACTTCTAGGCCTGTCTTTGATACTGACCTGGACATACCAATTAACCTGCCTCCCTGAGGTTCTCCTCTGTAAAATACTGATATTTTACAGTATTTTAATATTATGTTAATATATTATCATTATTATAAATTATCATATCTACTTATTTTGTAAGAATTGGTTAACTAGTTATGGTTCATAAAGTGTTTTGAAGTTTGGAAAAGGGTCATATATTAACAAGCAGTTTCTTCCCTGTAACTAATTTTCACTGATAACAGTGCTGATTTATAAATATAAACAACTCTGGAAAACATCATTTTTGTCTTCTAGTTGAAGAACAAATCAAAAGGTTTCTCTGCAGTATACTAAAGAGGACTTCATCTTTTGTTATCACTATTATGCTGTCATAATAGTGATCACATTATTATGGTAGCAACTAGATACCAACTCTTCTTTAAGGCACTGTACAAAGTAAGCAATAGTGCTTGTCTTGAAAAAAATATAGTTTATGAATTGTGTCCAGTTTTTACTTACACAAGGTTCTAATCATTGAGACCAATGGATTTTAACTTCCTTTGCTTCAAAGAGCACCAAGATGTCTTTTTTACATTGGGGCCATTTTGTCATTATAGCAGTGTTTTGGGGCTTTGCAAAACACTTTGCAAAACACTTTGCAGTGAGTCTAAATGTCCAGTTTCAGGGCAGTTCTGATTTTCAAACAGTCCCAATTCATTTCTGCTAAACACTGCTCCAATAAAATGATTCCCTGCATAGTGCAAAAATAATCGAGGTAGATAGGATAACTTCTCTATTTTCTTTGTTTTCCAAAACAACTAAAACTCTTGTTTTTAAGGATAAGTTTAGTCACAAAATTCATCCCATGTTCTCTTCAACCTCAGCAGTATGAGCCCATACCGTGCATCAGTTGGGTTAGTTGCTGTAGCAACACAATTAAAACCATATTTTGGAAGAGAGAAATGCTAGCCTGTCTCTCAGGGAATGTGTAAACAAGGGGAGCTGCCCTTCCTTCTATCCTTCCTCATTCACACTGAAATATTGACTTAATTAGAATCAGGGAAATTATGTTTCAAGACCCTCTTTCAATTTGAGTACTGTGTGTAACTTCTATGAATCCTTCTTAACTAAGGCAATTGCTTTGTGTTGCTGAACAGTAGCATAATGAAGTAGGGGATTAAAAAAAGAAGTGCCTGTGCTTCCACGTTGCCTGCTGCTGAGTTTCTGGCAGTGCAGCGAGTTATGCTGCCCTGCCCATGTGCTGCTTTGCCCAGGGTACTCATCACATTATGCCTCTGTCACAGAATAATTATATTATTACATGTTAATGCTTCTAATAGTTTCTTTCCAACAGACTTTTGACATGAAAATATTTTCCAGATATTCAGTTGGGCCTTGATCCTGCACAATAGAATCAATGGGAGTATAGCCTCTTGCCTCAATGGAAGCAGAATAAGTTATAAGCAGGGATCCTGGTTTTCTATTTCCCATGGAAAACCAGAGAAAAGGGTGGATTTTTCCCTTTACTGAAGGAAAACACGAATTTCTCATTTTAACAGAGTAACCCACGGATTTTGCAGTTTTTCAAAGAGCTCTCTGCAGACTGGCAGTGTTACAGCCTGCAAGGGGCTGGTGGGGAGCAGGAGGAGGGAGGTCAGGCAGGGGGTGCCATGTGCATGGCCATTCACATGGCCACCCAGCAGCCTGAAGAGCAGCTCCCGCAGCTAAGTGGAGGGTGGGGATTGAGGCCCCCATAGGGAGGGAGGGAGTTGGGCAGGGCTGGGGCTGCTGCCCAGCTGGGGGGTGCATGGGGCTTGGAGCCCAGGGCTGGCGTGTGCAGCCTCAGGGCCCTGGCAGGGGTGGAACAGGGCCGTGGGCAGATCATCCTGCCCTGGTGCCCTCACCCAGGGTCTCTGCAGCCCAGTGGGTGCAACCCAGTGAAGCCTGCCTGCCTCTCCCATGGGCAGAGAGCAAGCTGCCAGCAGGTGCCGAGTTGCTGGGTACCTGGACATTCCCTCTATGGTGGCAGTGCCCCCTGGGGCCACCTGGGCAAGCAGCTAACAGGCGGGTGCTACCCCAGTTCGCAGGCAGCACCCAGCCTGATCCAACTGTTCCCTAAGCCCAAGCTGGGCCTGCACCCACTTGCTAGCTGCCCACCCAGGGGGCACCACCTCCACAGAAGTGATTAAACTGCAGAAATGGCCAATTTTTATCATGTGTACAAGCACCCCTTGAAACTTGTATTTTTGGTGAATGAAGAGGTGAAGTAAAAAACCCAACTTAATTTTAGATCCTCATTGAGCTTGCAGGAATATAAACTGAACCCATGTGATAAGGATATCACAATGCCATTTATAGGGAGATGAGCTGTACTTTTACTGAAGGGCTGCTTATATCTCACTATAAGCACAACTTCAATATTGCTTTTAATTTAATCTACTGAAATGGAATGAGTTGGCATTAAAGGGGAAGCTATACAAATAACTTAATAAGTTTAGCACAGCATGGTCTGACACTAAAATGTTAAGTAATGAAGTTTGGGAATAATATGAACAGCTTGACTCTTCCCTGACTATTACTTAAGTGTTTAAAGTGGCTAAAATGAAGTATGTTGGAGGTAGTGAAAGCCACACAGGATAAAATAAAGGCATAACGTAAGGGCTCTGTAGCTTTTTATCAGCAAAGTAAAAATAGAAAGTACTGCCCACTAGTAGCTATCATATCACAATCTTTTGAAGATGATAACAATGACTGATTTCTGGTATTGTAGTCCTGCTCCCAATGAATTAAATATAAAAACTCAAATGGCATACATTACAGTACTTATAAAATCAAGCCATAATCTTTGCAACAAGAAACAACAATGCATTATTATTTATTGTGCTCTATAGCTTTCTGAGGGGGGAGAGTCCTACAGTTTTAATTCAGACAAAATCCCCATCAGCTATGAGACTGGGATCGCTTGCATATGTGTTCTATATTTAAAGTGGCGTGTGTGTAGGGGTTTACTTTAGAATCCAGAGTCCTGTGTTAGTACAGTAACTGGGAATGAATGGGAAAAAATACAGCTTCAAAGCTGAAATAGGCTTTGATCCTACTATTTGGTTCAACTTCAGCTGAAGAGCTAAAAAGTTTATTCTTTTTTTCCATGTCATTTGATGACTGTAGCTCCTGCCTGCCTCTTTATTGAATGTATTTTATTTTACCAACAGGATGCATAATCCTTTTTTAAACCATTATATTGACTATATATATTTTTATTTCTTTGGAATGTTTTCAGAACTGCACGTTCCAGTAGCTTTCCTGGAATGCCCAAATCATCATGCATTTTCAAAATCTAACCAAACAAGTGACCTTTCTCAGTTTGGGAGAAGGAAAGAAAGGACAAATTTTGCCCATCTGTGGCGCTGGTGGAACCAAACCAATAATGCACAGCTGTAAGTTAATACTTTTGTATCACTGTGTTATTGATATTTGTACATGTTTCATGATACATTCTTACAACAGGCAGTGAAGCAAGTCATGGAAAAAATTCAGAAATCCAGCACTGTTCCACCAAGAAATGTACTTACGTGTTGATCAGCACTGGAATACCAGAGCTTGTATGTGCTATTTAGGGTTTGTTTGGTTTTTTTAATCTCCCTTAACAAATAGATAGGTAAACTGAACCAGACATAGGTTGTGTATTGAAGCCAGTAGGTGCCAAACATTTTGGCAGGAATACTAAAAATAAGCCCAACCTCCACCCTGAATGCTATGCCAATCCCCTTCCCCTGCCTGATCTGCTACCCTGCCCTATCTGCTGCCCTGCTGCCTGTCCTGTCCCTGATCTGCCACATGCGACACACAAGGGCTGCTAGTGCCACTTGTGGCATGTGCTCCACAGCTTGGCTGTCCTGATCTAAATTATCTATAATTTTTAAAGCCATCCTTCCCTTTTTCTTATTATGAGGTGCATATGTATTGAATCACTATGAAGGTGCTTAGTGCTTAATAGATGGAATGATAATTAAATAGGTGAATATGGCCAAATGTAACTATAACATAGCTTTTTAAATAATATTTTTTTGAGGTTTTTTTATTGCTTTCCACTCCAATTTTGCAGCTAATTCTTTGCAAACTGTTGTAGTAATAGATAAATGCCTGAACAGTTCTATTACTTACCAGTCAAAACCTGCCCAAATATTTTTATTTTTATTATTAACTGATTTATGGAGGGTCATTTATTGCCATCTGTAGCAAGTGCCTGTCCCAGTGGTGGCTGCTCAGCCCTTGCCAACCAGGCTCCCCTTGGGGGCCCTCTTCCCTTTACTTGTCTGCCACACCTTGATGTTATTAATTTCTGATAAAAGGGAGGCTGCCCCAGGGCTTCCCAAGCCTGATCCTACTTTTAGGACCACAGTTATTTGTGGTCATTGCCTTAAAGGCTAGTTCTGTGAGCTCCATCCTCCTCAATACACACTTCCATACCTCACAGGTGATCTACAGACATACGCCCCTCATGTGCTATGGTTCCAAGCTCTAGTCCTTGCCCCTCCTAGACTCAAGACCTCTGGGCTGTCTAGCTCTTCTGACACACTGCCCTCTCTCTGGGCTCTGGCTCTTTGGCCCCACGCTCTGCCCTCTTGCAGGCCCTGGGGACTGGAGCTTTCCTCAGTGCACCCTAGTCTCCCCTGGGCACAGGACCCTCCTGGTGCCCCCCACCCCTCCTGCCACCCCCAAGGTACTGGACCTTTTCCCAAGTGCCTAGTCCTTCATGGGCTCAAGCTCTCTCTGTGGGCCTCAGGCCCCTCTCTTCCTCTGGCTGTTCTCTCTCACTCTTTCTGGGCCAGTTGAGACTTCCATACCTCTCTTTCAGTCCCTTCCTCAACCACCAGCTTTCATCGGCAGCCCTCTCGGGCCATTACTTCCATCCTCAGACTTATCTGTTCCAAGACCTGTTTCGCCCCTCTCCAGCACCAGGCCCCTGGCCCATGTTCCCAGGCCTATCTGTTCTAAGGCCTGCTTTGCCCCCCTTGGGTGCTGCTCTACTTGCTAGCTGACCTTGGGCACCTTGGCCCTCTACTCTCTGCTGCCCTCCTCTAGGTTATGGGCTCTCCCACTCCTGTTCACAGGCCTATCTGTTCCAAGGCCTGGCCTGCTCAGCGAGTATCTTGGGAGCCCTGGTGCCAGGAGCTCCTCTCTCAGTGGTACTCAGGGGTAGACCCCTGACCAGCTTGGGCCCCGAGTTTTATGTGCCACAAGCCCAGTCTGGTCAGCTGACTCCCTAATCAGCCTCTGCCCCACCTGCGAGCTGCTTCTCCCTCAGCCCCTTGCTTAGTGACAGATTCACCAAGCGCCCTGTCACACCATCCCTGTAATATTTTCCGGAGGTCCTGATCAGAACTTTCTTTAGGGGTTCAGCACCATAACTGTGTGAGCAGAACTAAGATGTGTCAATTGTTTTCAGCCCAATTTAAGTAAAGTAATTTCTAATGATAGTATAGGTTTGTTACCAGACTTATAGCATCATCACCAAGCAGGGTTACCATAGTTTGGATGTCTTAACTTTGTTTCCATTACTTAAGATGTTTTCATTTTATTAAAGTTTTCACCTTTACTCTGAATTTCCTGGGTTAGCAATGCTTGTTTTTTCAGTGATTACAATAATATTTTTACCCTTAAGTTCCTGAAATTTATACTTAGCAATAACTCCATCTTAACCAAATATTTTTAAGTTTTTGGTTTGGAAACTAAGTTCAAAAAAATCTTTTAAAGCAACAAAAGCAGATTTAATGAAAAGCTTTGTTTTAGCCAATTTAAACAATATGCCAGAATGATATTCATTGGAAAATAGGGCAATTATTTTCTTTAATTTTAGTTTCTTGTAGCTCCTATTTCGTTCAGTAGAAAGGCAGCAGCACTTTTCTTATAATAGATATTGTTCTCACTTTTTTAGGCATCAGATGCCAGCTCAACTTGAACACAAGAATGACTTTAAAGCACAAGACCTTTCTGTCATCATCAAAGCATATGTGCTAGTGACATCCTTAACACCATTACGGGCATTTATTCATTCAAATGCTACTGTCTGGCATTCATCCAAAAGGAAACACTTTTCTGTCAAGGTAAAACTCTTCTTTTATTGATAAATCTAGGTACCACATCATATAATCCTCTTTAGATGATGGGACATCTGGCTCAGTGACCTGAGAGATCACTTCGTATGTCCCCAAAGCCAAATACTTTGCTTGCTTTTTTCTCCTCCTTTGTTAGTTGTTCTTATTGGACACTATTGCTGCTCATTGTTGTTCTTATTGGATACAGTTAAAAAAAGAGCAGTTCACATAGGAAGTGAAAAAACTATTATGCACAGTGTAGTTATCACATGGAGACAGTTTTTCTGGATTACTCATTTCAGTTCCAGTTTTTGGCACTGTGGTATGAGAGCATGTTCAGTGGTGTTCTTATGCTGTAACACACAGCTGTATGAGTGCTGTAATGCTGGAGGTTTTTCCTGGTTGGTGTTGATTCCACGATTAAAGAAAAGTGCCATGGTGCTTCCATATTTTGTTTAGATACTGTGGAGCTGCATTTCCCGGGAGAGGTCATCAGAAGCCTTGAAACTCAGGTAAATGATCTCTAAGCTGTAGTATAGGGGCACCTGTTCACACCACGGGCTTTAATCCTCATTAAATTAAATAGGTTTATAAAATTTTAACTTGTTTATTTTGGAGCGTTGCATTTGCGTTTACATGCACTAGGTTCTCAAACAAATTAAGCCTTGGAGCATCTCATCTGTGTTTACACACATTAGGTTTTCATATGAATTAAGACAGGTCCCTGGCCATTGCCACAGGAGAGTGGGATGGTCCAGTGCTGCCCCCCAGCCCAGGGCGCCCACCCACCCCATGCCCATGCCCTGCCATGCAGCTGTGGAAGCAGGGAGTCAGCAAACAAGAAAAAAAAAGAAAAAGCCACACAACAAAAATAAAAGGGGAAGCAATTCACAAGTGAAAGCAATTTGAAGGCGTGAACTACAAAAAATTAACACTGACATCTGGTGTACAAAGGGCTCATTACACTTCTTTGAGTGCCTTTGTGGTTGCCAGCAACGAATCCGTGGATGCTACATTATAATTCCCAGCGAGCCAACCTAAACTACGTCCAAGGAGTTTTAGTTTAATGCACAGGAAAGACTTTTAAATATCGGGAAATCCTGCTCATACACACAGACATGCAGTTGCAGTGCACGAAAGGGCAAAAATCATGGTGTGTACATGAGCCCTAGGTCTTCTGTGAGCCACCCTAATGATTCTAGGTTTTATGAGGACAGATGCTTTAGAAGTGTCTAAATGTTTAGATTTTGTTACCTCAAGGTAGCTAGACTTGACACAGTCGACCTGCCCCCCGCCCCCTTCCAACGATCAATCTGGGCCAGTAGGCACATGCTTACTTATGGGTACCTCTCTCCTGTTTTGTTCTGCTTAACGAGCAGCAATGGTGTCTAATAACAACTAACAAAAGAGGATAAAAATGCAAGCAACAACATTTGTAACACAGCTGATGCTCATGAAGAGGCTGAAGACCTACTGCTATGTGTCACAGGAGGAACTCTAGAGTGGCAGGGTATTTTCTTCAGATCTTCTCTGGAATAGCAAAATTCCCACCTCTCCATTTGTGGGTCAGGGAACATTTCATGTTCTATGCCCAAAGGAAGATAAAAATAGCCTGGCCAAGTCTCTTGTGCAGGGGGCAGGACTTGGTTCTGAATTCACATGAGTGCCAGTACCACTAGAAAATGTGAGAATCCTGGGCTGATAATGCTAAGAACTTGAATGATCTTGGAGCCTGTGAAGGGTTGTGTGTGCATGTGCGCGTGTGTGCATTATTTTTGTTTAATTTTCTAGTTTACACGTATGGAAACCATCTAACAGAATTTTGTCACTTCAAAACTTCTGCATCCACTGAGCTTAGTTTCATTTTATGCTTATTAAAAATATTACAGGCATCCAGTATTATCACTATAATTTCTTAAGTAGCTGCTAGTTTTGAGGATAATAATCATTAGTAATTGTGGCACAGCACTCTAGAAAATAATCACAGCTAAGAGAAGTCTGTGAGAAAGGGCGCCAGCCACTACTTACAGAACATTCTGGCAGCAGAAGAAGCAATAAAAGTGATAGATAGAAATAGCAGCACAATATACAGTCGCTCCAATCTGGTTACTGCGCCTGTGGTACTATATTTTCCACACTTTGAGACAGAGTTGTCAGAATAGCAAGAATTATACAGAAAACAGAAAAGCACTTCTATAGTGATGTTGATTTAAATTCAAATTAACAAAATGATGGAAAACAGGATGTATAAGGTTGCCTCTAAGTATAAACAATGTACTGTCTATAGAGCTTGAGAAGTCAGAAAGTCTCCAAGATATAATCAGTACAAGTAAAAGGGGCATCTGGATATGTCTATATTCATCTTTCTAGGTACACACGCACCCTTACCAGAGTATGTGAACATGTGTATAAAACACACAGGTACTGTGGGAGGTCAGTAGATGTGATCAGCCAGTATTTATGGAAAATAAATAAATGAATTTAGACTGAATCCCACGAGCCATCATACCATGTGGAAGACCTTGAAACAGACAGTTCATTTGGGAAAAATATATTGGGAAATTAAAGATTTAATTTAAAGATACTGTTCTTCCTGTCCATAAATTAGTGATTCTCTTTTGCAGTGATCTTCATGCATATTGCAAATACATTTCATGCAGTATTCAGCCAGTGCTAGTTGCAGGGAGCCAGAGTGAAGGCAGTAAAGCTACTGCCATCTGAGGAATTTTGGTCCAAAACATTTCTATTAACTTCAGCTATGCATTTTTTTAGATTAGGATTTCTGTGAATTATCTCTGATGTGAATGAAGAAAAAACTGCATGTTTCATACTCTACCTACTCTAACCTGTCAATAGCTGATAATGGTAGAATGGATCTTCAGAAGTCTGTTTGTCATAATTCCCATGATACCAAGAGGCATAATGAAACAGCTGGGCACCCAGGGCAGCTGCCACCCACAGGGCAGCTTCTAGTTGCTGCTGCACCATGCAATAGCAATAGCAATTGCTTTTGTGCCTTCCCCCTCCTCCCTGCCAAGTCAGCAGCAAGTGGGGTTGCTCCAGTCACTGCCTCCCCCTCCCGCCTCCCCAGTTATGCCACTGTTAATATTAGGAACTGAGCATGCAAACAACAGGAGACTCTGGCCTGGAGATAAATTGCTGGCATTGTTATTTGAAATGTCTTTCTCCCCTAGAAGAGATGAGTATACTCACTTATTTAAAACTTTAATATAGATATGAGGGCGTTAGTTTTTTGCATTTTATTACTGCCTTTTGAATAATGTTGCAAAGTACAACATACCTACTCCATAGAAATAAAGATTCACTGGTTAGCAAGTCTGGAACTACTTTTAGTTCATTACTGGAATGGACTTGCCCTAGCAGTAGAGTTAATGTACTACAAATTGCCTATTACTGTTTACAGTAACACCTGGCTTTATGTGTCCAAATATTTTTTACTACATGTGGTACATAATATGTTTTTGAGAGCTGAAAAATCCCTGACATTTATTAAGTACGCAGTGGATCAGAAGAGATATCTACAGAGTTAAAATGTAGAGAGTGAAGCACTATTGCACGGCTTCTGTAAGATTTCTTAACAACAAATTAATTATTGAAAATTATTCTTGCAAATCACATTTACTTAATTTGATGATAGTGACTGGGGTTTAGAATGATTCTCTAAACCATCTGTGCTAAAAAAGAAGAAAAAATTAGAAAGCTACCACAATGACAATTACATGTTATATGTATTAAGGACAGTTCGTCCTTAAGGACAGTCAGTCCCCAGTCAGAGTGTATAATATTTCCCATTATGCATGCACAGTGAGCAGAGAATTAACCCCTAAATGTTTTTCTGTTTGGTATGAGTGCTGGCATGTGAACCATTTGTCACTAGCACATTACTTTTTTGATTGGCAGGCCATGTATCCTGAATCCTTTCTTTTCTTCCCCTCGTCAGCTCCCCCCACCCCAAACCTTCAAAGGGAGACAGATTCCTATTCCTATCAAGTGCTGCTTTATGCTATCTGGTACAGTACTTAACAAATATGTACATTAGCACTTTCGTGCTCTGGAGAAGTACCCCCCACCCTCGCTGCTATTTAAGACCCTGATTGTGTCTGCTAGGTAACCAGAGTTACAGGATTTTGAATTCTGGCAACACTTAAGAAGTGTATTGTGTTAATAAAGACTTAAAAAAAAAAGATTCTATTCATAGAGTTCAAAGAATTAGATTAATTTATATCAGTGTTAGGTGCAACAGGGCTTCCTGGGGGTAATTATTGATTTCTATTTTATTATATTGTTTGTGCTTCAGATTCTATTATTTTTTGTGCTGCAGATGCTTCTATTAAAAATACTGTTCGCAGGTGAATTTCAGATCATGCAGTGGGCTATATTATTAAAGTTAAGTCCTGTAGCATAATAAGGGCATGGTATAAACTACTGTGATCTCCCATGGAAACTCATATCTTGTGCATTGGAAGATTTTTACAAAATACTTTTTAAAGTTAAGATGGGTGCAAAACCCAGGAACAGGGTGCTGCCAGAAAATACACATTTTAATCTGATTTTGGTTTGTTAATGCTGTACATTGTGAAAATCAGATTGCTATACTGCCCTCAAGTGGTATCTTCTGATATTGCATCAATTATATTTAGTGTAAAACAGAGAATACCTGTAAGCAAAAAGCAGAAGTTTTGACACGATAGACATGTTCAGGATCTTTTCCTTTTACATTAATTTATCATCATTTTAGCCTTAAAGCAGCAAGGGGGAAGAGGACCCAGCCAGCTTTTGTGTTAATGTTTTTCCAGCAGGATGAAATAAAATCACTCTGTGTTGTGGGGGAGGTCCACTTCAGTACTCTCTGTCCGAAACATCCATTCTCCATTCTGCTATTGTCAGAAATGGGACACTGGTCTAAATGGACCATTGGTTTGACCCAGTTTGGCACTTTTATGTTCACTTACGTACCTAATACATGGAATAGGATTTGGCCTTATGATTTGAGCATCCTGACTCATTCCTTTGTGCTCTCTTTCTCTCTTTGTGTATAAGGTTCCATGAGTTATATGTTTAATTGTGATAGCCTGGTCCATCTGGGATTCTTGAATGAAACAAAATTTCTAATAATTGGGGATAGCCACTTGTCAGGTCTTTCTCCTTCCAGGAGTTGGGTCCTTGGAAGTCTGCCCATGCATTCGTGGAAGGCCCATATCCTCCTTTAAGAGCAATATGAAGAGAACTCTTAGTCTGTCACCTGTACTCCACCAAAAACTACTATTGTGTCCAAGAAACCACAGTTAATCCTCTCACTTCTCAAAAAAACTAATGTAGAAGACATTGAACTCACTAGGAACATTTTTGTAGACTTCATTTGTCATTAGACTTGGCTTTAATTAGGAAGAACTATAGAGAAAATGTTGCTGGAAGACTTCTCTTTCTCTTCCTGTATTGCAGCTTTAAAAAATTAAATCCTTGGTGACTACCAGTAGGCCATAAATGATAAAATGATGCCACAGAACATTTTCCATTCGAGTGAATTAAAACAGGTTTAAGGCAGTGAAAATTTGTGGCCTAAACTATTTAATAGTCTTCTTTAAAAATAGATTATGTAGAAAATTTAGCATAAATAAGATATTTACTATACAAAATATCTGAATAATATCTTGGCTTCCACCTTCTTCAAGTCCTGTCTCAAAGATGCAGGGAAATGGTTTCACATAATAATAAATCTTGGGGTGGAATAAATAGACATACTCAACAGCTAGCACTATAAACTTGTGATAAATTACTGCACTGTTTTCCTTATGATGTATTCAGGAACCATTGTTTTCGATTATGGTTACATTTTTCTCCCATTACTCACTTTACAACTTTTTCTATCTACCGCGATTGATAAGGAGGCAACCTTTGTATGGTAAGTAATAGGCAGTACAAGGCATGTCTACACAAGATGTTTGCTGCGCAGCAGACTAATTAGCCGTGCAGTAAAACATTGCTGTCTACACCTGCAACCCTATTAGGTTGCAGTAGACTAATAAACACCTCTGCAGAGTTCTCCTGCTAAACACAAGTACTACCCTGTGGCAGTGTTATTTTGTGTGCCCCAGCACACACAAATCTGTGTAGATATGGGTGAAAAAAAATTATCAAGTATAGACAATGATAAAGGAAAGCTAACTGCTGATATAAGAGTGGCGTGGAAAATGAAATGTAGCCTCTTACCAGAGATTCATTCTGTAGTAGGATAAAACACACACACACTTTTAAAGAAAAGTTTTCGCTGAACAGCCTGTGTGGTTATGCAGATCCCCCTAGTGGTGGGATACTGGCAGTTCTACTGCGCAGTTGAACGCTTCGTTGAGGGCACCTTGGTTTGAAAAACTATCTCCAACTTCCAACCCATGCGTCTTGGAAGAAAAACCTCCATTTGAGTCTTATTGAGACATGATTTCTTGGATTTCTCTACAACCTTCAGAAGTTTAGGTATTTAACAAGAAGTGAACACCACACTCAGATATAATAATGATTTTGTCTGCCATGTAGTCTAAAAGGTCACAGTCAGTGTTTTGTAAAAGGGACCAGCAAAGCAGCTTCTCTGAGAAGTCATATATAAATCCTGCAAAAATATAAAGCACTGCGTCTTCAAATTTTTAACCATAATTTAGCAGAAAGCCTAAATAGTTTTCCGTGCTCAGTCCTAAAACAGTGTACATTGTTTCTTGTGGTATTAATGTGCTCTTGGAGTAGAGTCCTGGTCTCCGTTGCATCCCTAGCAATTGGTCCTTAAGGCCATGATGCTGATCAAGGAAGGCTTCCTCTGCTGAGATGAGATGCTCTTACTCAACATTGTGTATCTGTTTATGAAGTGTTCTCCTTGCACTGATTTCCCAGTCCTGGGCTCTAGCTCTGTTTGAGCCTATTGTTGTTATCTGCCCAAAATTCTGTCCTTATATCAGCTGGTTGGCCCAGAACCAACTAGATATCCTGAAGTCAGTTGCTGACCCCAGTTGCTCTGTAGCAAACTCCTCTCCTTCAAAAGGAGATGGGCTGGTCATCAAAAAGCAGGAGTGACATTTCCTCCTCATCTTCCAGCCAGCCAAGTCTCTGGGGATGGAGGCATGAATGAACAGTTGGTGGGGCTAGATGGGAGGGTGGAGGAAGGAGGCGAGAAGGGAGGCAAAGAACAATCAGGTGTATGGCTGACCTGTTTATCCTGCTGATGTGGAATTGAGAGTCCCAAAGACTCTTCTGGATGCAGTGTATTTCAGCAAAGCTGCTACAGTTTGTACCTACTAAGTGTTGCCAGTTATGCCAGCCAGAAGGCATTAAAGTTCAGTATGCAGAATAAAAGTCACACCTACTATTCAACACGCCCACAAAGAGGAAGTGAAGATAGAAGGAGGAAGTGTGCATAGGCTAAAATCAATTTTATTCTTGGGAGGATTATTGTTCATCGGACAAATCCTCAATTAAGGTAATGCCGTGAGACTTTACACTGCTGTGGTGGCACAAAGGGGCACTATTTTACCTAAGAATCTGTCCCCACAGGTTCATTGACAAAGAACATGAAGTTATCTCAAAGGAATAACTAAATTTAAAATAATCTGCAGACCTGTGTATGCCTCACTTTTAATCCCTCCTTGAGCATGTATGCATGAAATTGTAAATAGGAATGATTTGATTAAATCAAATGTTGTCTTCCTTTCAGGTCTTTAATTGATGTGTGTTTCTGGCAGAGTACAATAGAATGAAATAATTCATGGCACTGAGATCACAAAGCTTATTTTAAATGACTTGGAGGTTTGTGGATTTTTTAAAAATCTAATGTCAAAGAGGAATTAAGAAAAGGCAATTCATATTTTTGGTTTTTTTAATCTAATGTCAAAGAAGAATAAGAAAATACATTTTAATATTAATATTGACATAGGCAATTAATTTATTTTTCAAGTGCACTAAAACTAATGAGCTAAATCCCTGTTAAGAGTATTTGTCTTGAGATGATATTTCCTTTAAAGAAGATGCTGGTTTAACTGGTTTAATGAAAAATATATCAATTTGCAAATTTTCTAAGAGGCAGGCATTTTACATAAATGTGTGAAACATACTCGTTGGATCTGTATCCATTCAGCATGTGAATGAACACTTTCAGACACCTGGGAAACTTTGGAATTTCCTGTACAAGGAAGCCCTGTAGCATGCCTACATCTGTGTAAGTGCACTCCTCCCCTCCCTCTTCCTTCCTCTTGCCCTCCCCCTGCCCCCTGCTTCCCACGCCTGTGTCACATCAGTCTTCGCAAAAGCCCTCAGTGCCCACAAAATCAGTGCACTTTGAAGATTAACTTGCTAAACCTTAATCCTTTTCTACTCTCTATTCAACATTTTACCAGTGGAGTTATTCTTTTCTAGACTGAATACTAGGGATTGCCATCAGATTTTAAATTTAGTCCTACTTTTTGGTCAACAAACAAAGATTAGCATAAAAAATAACTCTCTTTTGGTCTATATTTCATACTCATCAATACTACCTTTAACTAGATGCTAATAGTTGATATGGAGTGATTTGAACCTTGCCCAAACAGACAGTTCACTGCCTTTGCAAGCTAAGAGGATAGGTCTGCAGATGTACAGGTTTTAATATTTGGACCTTTGGGGGCACAGCCGTATGACACACAGAGACACTCAAACGCTGAGGTTTCTTTTATCACTTCCAGATGTGTCTGTACACAATCCATATAGCATGCCGTTTCTACTGAATGACTAGGGGTCCTCTTGTTGCTACTTGGAAGCAACTCATCACTCATCAACTTAGAGGCACACTGTTTGCAAAGCAGTCCTTCATCCTGGGAAGTTATTGGACCATGCCTTAAGGAAGGCCTTGTGTAAGCATCTGGAGGAGGATCCAAGCAACCAGCATGGATTTTTGAAAAACAAATCATGTCAAACAAACCTGATCTCTGTCTTTGACAAAGTAACAACTTGGGTAGATGAAGGGAATGCTGTGGCTTTAGTGTATCTGGACTTCAGCAAGGCTTTTGACAAGTTCCCGCATGACCTTTTCATAAACAAATCGGAGAAATGTGGGCTGGATAAACCTACTATGAGGAGGATAGATAACTAGCTCAATAGCCGCAAGCAAAGGGTAATTATTAATGAGTCCATGTCAGAATAGCAGGAGGTTTCGAGTGGAGTCCCACCGGGGTCTGTCTTGGGCTTGGCACTTTTCAGCGTATTTATTAATGATGTAGATGTTGGGAGAGAAAGTTTCTTGAGCAAGTTTGTGGACAGTACAAAACTGAAAAGGACTGTGAACGTGTTGAAGGATGTGAGCGTAATGAGAAGGATTTTGACAGACTGGAAAGTTGGGCTGGAGCTAACAGGATGAAGTTCAGTGTGGACAAATGCAAAGTGCTACACCTCAGGAGATATAACAAAACCTCCCACACAAAATGGGTGGCTGGATGGATGGCAGCTCTATGGAAAAGGACTTGGGAGTCTTGGTAGACCACAGACTCAATATGAGTCTGCAGTGTGATGCAGCTGCACAAAAGGTGAATGTGATCTTGGGCTGCATCAATAAAAGCATTAGGTGAAAGACATGGGAGTTGATAGTGCCTCTCTACTTGGTGCTGGTTAGGCTTCATCTGGAGTAGGGTGTGCAGTTCTAGGCTCCACATCTTAAAAAGGATGTGGAAAAGTGAGAGAGGGTCTAGAGGCAGGCAACAAAGATGATTAAAGGCTCAGAAGGCAAGTCATATGAGGAGAGGCTGAAGAAGCTAGGCCTGTTCAGCTTACAGAAAAGGCACTTAAGAGGGGACATGATATCAGTCTTCAAATACTTGAAGGGTTGCCATAAAGAAGAGGGAAAGCACCTTTTGTCTCTTGCTACAGAGAGGAGGATGTGGACCAATGGCTTTAAGTTGCAGCAAAGTAAGTTTAGATTGGATATCTGGGAATACCTCTTCATTGTTAGTACAGTAAGGCAGGGGAACAGACTGCTTAGGGAAGTTGTGGATTTTCCATCACTGGTGGCGTTCAGGAAGAGGGACAGCCACTGGTCAGGGATATTCTACCATGGGTATCTCTATGCTTCTGAGCTTTGCTGGTTGCCCCTCACTCCCTGACTTTCTGCTACTTGGGACAGGATGTTTTTTAAATTTCCTCAGAAACATTGGGTGTTAGCTACAGCCAAGTCTGGGGAATTCAACTGGAGTGTGCCACTGCTCCTGCTGCAACTAAAGCTGGAAGCTCCTGGCTAGAGGGTCTTGCCCCGCTACTCAAGGTCAACTGTTCACCATATTTGGGGTCAGGAAGGAATTTTACCCCATTAGTATAGACTGTGGGGGTTTTTGCCTTCATCTGCAATGGGTGTGCCCCTCTACCTGAGATCTCTTGAGCATATATTGATAACATATCATAGAAGTAGGACATTGGCTGCCATGATTTACCTTTGGCAGTTTGGGTCTGCATTGTCATGATTGATTGTAGTCTTATATAGAATTCAGATTATGGTTTGTATGGGATGGTTTGGATATAGATGATCTTGTGTCAGGCCGGGGGGTTGGACTGCATGACATTTGCAGGTCCCTTCCAGCCCTTCTGTATGATTGTATCAAATCTAATACCTGCTTCTGAGGACTCTATTGGCGCATCCAGATGAGTGTGCACGTTCCTCTTGCCCTTTCTCAAACCCCTTTGAGGTGGGGCAACAGGCATGTGTGGGAGTGAAAAAATGTTCCCTGTGCTGCAAACTTGCAGCACGGGGAAAAACATTAGACCCCTGGATAGTCAGGGGTCTAAAAAAATTGAAGTTTAAAAAAGCAGGCAACCGCAGGCTGGGTCTTCCACGGAGACACTCTGGCTGCCAAAGCGTCTCTGTGGTTGGCCTCTTGCCCTGGTGCTG